TTAATTTAGACCTTATTAGGCATATATTGTATTTCGAATAATTAATATACCGAACTATTTCGGAATCCTCTTCGAATTCGATGTATTCGGGATCGACTGTATTTATATGGGGACATAAGCCATCGGTGCCCACAGCCTCGTATGTAAAAAAGATACAGTCTATAATTTGTTGTTTCCTGTGCGTGGAAACGATGGGCAGCCTCGCCACTTGAAACTACGGTAGGCTCTAGGGTGGCTAGATGCTATAACGCGATAGCATTAAAGAAAACCTGAGAAAAAAAAACCTGTCTGTGTGCAAATCACACAGACATAAAAATCACCACTTTTTTGCTGATTGATGTCAGGAAAAGTATTGTTACGTGGGATTAAAAGCAGCATCAAATAATGTGGGTACCTGCCATTGAACTTTTTTTTTTTAGAAGATATTTTTTATTTGTCGCAAAAAATATGCACGCATTGAGGTAGAATGCACGCATTGAGGTAGAATATACAGAACTTTTTCGTGGAATTGGCAACTTTGTAAAATCTGGTTTCGTTAGATTCTCTACACCGTGAGGAAAGGAACAGTACGAAAAAGTACACTCAAACCTCATTGTAACAAAATTCGTTACATCCAAAATTTTATTATAGAGGTTGCAAAACTATGTTCAGGGGTGGCAGTGCTGCGCCAATTGTGACATTCTGTGCCACTCTAAGCTGCTGCGCCAGGCTGCGCATAAACGGCACTTTTGGCGATAATTGTCTATTGGAAGTGTAAGCTGCAAATTTAGCCAATTATTATCTTCGACCGAGCAACACTGAGCGTTGGCTACACACAGGACAGGACGCAGCTGCATCCATATCCAGTGTAGTTCGATCGCGTTGTATCAAAGTGGTTTAGGTGTTCTCTGGTTGTATTTCGATTTGCTAGTGCTCGTCTCATCGCAGTTATCACCGTGGTTTCTCTGCCATAGTGGTGGCACTAGCATGAGTAACTGGGAATTATCTAGTAGTACAGTGAAACCTCGCTAATTTGTACCAGTCGGGAATACGGCTAAACGGCAGTGCGCGCTTGCAAGCACAAATGTATATCTCCTGAAACAGTTACAGTACCACAGCAGATGTTGCCAAAAGTACCCGCCAGGAAGTATTTTCTTCGTCCTGCCAAGGTGCGGAAAATATACTGGGCTGGCACTCTTAGAACAATCGTTTTATAGCACGCAGAGCTGACACCAAGAAGCATTTCGGCCCGTCCGGGATACGCAGCGACTGAAATAGGAATAGAACAAACACTATCGGCTTTCCGCGATACATATGTGCGCTTCTCTACCGCGATACTGACAACTGATAGTTTCATTGAAAGGCGGGCAGGTTGCGTGGACTTGGAAAATCTACTGGTTAGTTGCGTCCAGAATGGTGCCTAGGCTGCCCACGCCGATGATGTCGGGCGGCTTGCACTTCCGTGTGCGCAGATTTGCTGAGTGATTCGCTGGTCCCCACTTTGCTCCAGACCGAGCACAGATGAGCAGAGTAGTGTGTTTATAACTAGCGTGGGGATAACAAACGTCCTCCAAGCAAAGTTTGCCGCGATTACATATACTTCGTTTCACACATTAGGTGCAACATCAGCTGTAACGCTGCTGTGGCTAGCGAGAATCCTTGCAGGTAGGAGCGTTCATGTAAGAATATAGTTCCCCGTTTTTAGCAATCAGAATATACATCAGCAGCCAAAATTATGAGCCAAGAGCCAGGCAACCAAAGAGACGTGGTTCAGCCCGTGCTTGGCATCCTGGAACTGCCAGCGGCTGAAAGCGGTGTCCCCTACGGGTTCGCCTAGAATAGGTTGCTACTCTTGGGCATCCGAGCACGCTAGTGTATCTTTGCTGTATTTACTCGCGTAATCCTCGCACTCGGATAATTCTCGCACCCCCCACATCGACCAACAAAAATACGAATTTTTTTTTTCTCGAGTAATTATCGCACCCCGAAAACTGCTGCAATAATGTCGTCTGCTTTTTTCAGCCACTGATGATGATAGCACACGCCATCTGGCGCCATCTCTTAAGCATCAAGCGTACTATTGCACAGAGATTCAATCCAAGCCAAGCCGAAGTGGCCAGTACGCGTTGCGGCATGTTTTGTATGTTGTGTCGGTAATCTTGTCACGTTATGAGGCGATACTGAAGATGTACGGCTGCTTTCAAGTTGCAAGTGTAGATCATGCACTAAACAACGGTAACAGGGCCGCCAGTGGTCTCTTCTGAGTCTACGAGTTCTGTGTTCGCTACTGGTGACGGCAGCTGAAAGCCACCAAGGACGCGTTGGGTCTGCTGTGTGCCTAAAACTGGGATTGATGGTCAACTTTATTTCTTCAGAAGGAAACTGCGGACAATTCTGTTAAATAGCCATCAGCCCAATACTGACGTCCCACGCTTACCTTTTGAGGGCTCCTGTTGAGCGACGAACGCTACCGCTACGCCCGTAACGTCCGCAAGCTTTGCGTATGGTATTCTAATTCTTGACTATTTGCTTCCACTTTTTGTGTCTCAAATAAATCTTGTCTTGTGTTGATCCTCTGCTTTTATTGTTGAGGTAAGTCTTAATTAGCACTTCTTAAAAGCTTGCTGTAAGTTGCTGGAGTGAGAATCCCGATTTGCGGCCACTTGGTTTTCTTTTTCCCTCTGTACGTTTTCGTAGAAAGATTTCCCCGCGTAATTCTCCCACCCCCCAACTTTTCATCGGTTTTCCGGCAAACAAAGTGCGAGGATTATGCGAGTAAATACGGTACTTATCCTACCTCTTCCCCTCTTATGCCGGATCAACAATAAAGTTGTTTTACTCCCTCACTTTTTGTTTCAATCAGAGTATTAAATAAGCATGTTTTGTATCACAGATACCTACCCACCCATATCTGTGGGTGGTAAGTCTGGTAAGCTCGCTAGTACTGAATAATCAGCGCGAACCATTGTAATTTTTTTTTACTAGAAATAACTTTGATTGATGATGATGATGATGTCTGACCCTAGAAAGCAGCTCCTAAAATAATTCGTGTTGCTCCAAGGCATGCCTTTTGGTGCTCTGAACTTGCTCCGAAATTTCCTTTTTACTACATCAAAGCTGCTCCAAAACAGCATTATTCCTGCTCCCTGAGCTGCTCGAAAACACTCAAGTCCACTTCCAACCCTGTATATTTAATTTACTTTGTTATAACCGATATTTCGTTATATCTGGGTGCATTGTATTGAGGTTTGAGTGTACAATGAATCACGATGGGAAGTTAAGGGGCAAATTAGATTGAGTTTAAGGAGGCAGACTGGCCTTTGCGACCAAAAAGTGACAAAAAAATTAATTTCCTAAAATTGACATATTAGGTTTCTGCAAGTATTTTTCTATATCTCTGCAAATTTTCACACACCAGGAAGTGGTAATTTTTTTTTTTTTTGTGATATCATTCTAACTGTCCAGATTTTTGGTGCTGTTAACATGCAGAATCTCGAAAAAAAAATAAGGAACCGACTTAAGGCTTCTTTATAATTTGCCGGCACCTGTGGGTAAAGCTCTACTACCAATTTATAAGTGCCTTAATGAGGATTGCAAAACATGCGCACCATGATTGTTCCTTTTTGAAAAAAACTGTGTTTTCAGTTTTTTTTTTTCATTTTTCTCAAAAAAGTGAATTTGCGACTATTCAATTTTGAGGCCTCAATATGTCTGTAGCTAGGGCAGGTACAACAATAATTCTCTTTACAGTGGAAACCTGTATCAGTGTAGAAAGTATAGGAGCAGAATTTAGAGCATGAGCCCTTTTAATTATTTACTCATCGAAATTGTAACACAATTCCAACTGCATTTGAAAATGGATAGCTCATTTTGCTTTAAAATAACCAAGAAAGGCCTAAAAACAAAAAACTGTTGCATACTTTCAATCTATAGTAATTAGTCTATGTTGGCATATCTTCAATATCTCTTTTAATTAAGCTTTTTTTTATGGTGGCCTTAAACAATAGGGGGTGAACTTCAGTTACCTCCGGAACGAAATTTGAAATATTTGAAGTAACCAGAAAAAACTGCATAATCCTGTGCAGTTTTATCAAGATCACTGAAGCATTAAGCAAAAAAAAAAATGTCTAAGACCAGTCTGCCCCTTTAACTACCCGAGGGATATGAAAAAATTTTGGCCATATTCACGGCTTGACATGGTGAAGGCTGATGAAACGGCAAAGCATTTTCGGTCATAATACTAAGCTTCACTAAACTCGATTAGCAATCAAAAACACTTTGAAGCATGTAGACTGGTTTTTGTTTAGCTGGAGGGGTGGAGCCGTACAGTGTTTTTTTATTGCTATTGCAAAGCACGTCGACCTGACGGCAACTTCTTTCAAAGAGCGCTCAACTTTAGCCATGACCAAACATTCGAGCAACTGTGGGTTAACAAATCCTGATTTTTCTCTTATTGATTATACACAATCCACGATAAATTCAAGCTGCTTCTTCATTTTTAGTATGCTGGAGTGGAGTAGTCGAGCTTGCCCAAATTCTGTGGCCAACACTAGATAAGCTGGTTGTAGACAGCTTTCTCATATTCAGTGGACCTGATGTTGGTGGTAGGGCTTACCCAATTTTCGTAACACGACCTGCTTGGTTAATTAATGAGAATTCCTACAAAATGAGCTGTGGCGTTATATTTAACATGCCATTGATGATAGGTGGTTTATTTATTTTTATTAGGCCAAAGGTGAATAGCGAAACTTGCTCCATTTGTGGCACATATTCGCTACGCCTATCATAGAATACTACTTAATTTTAACTGGAGCCACGTCACACTGGTCATCCCGAGAAAACTTTCAGCACGAGTACCTACGCTGTTGAAACCTTTATCATTGTATATTCCCGAGGCTATTCGGCGTTTTGTCGGGATGCTTTGAAGGCTCTCTCAAAGCTTACAAAAGAACTAACAGCCTTCATTCTCTGCAATATGTCGATGTAAACTAATGTCAAACTTCCTTTCTTTCCCTCCCAAGGTGCGCATGGTTCGCACTCCGCAACCAGTGACGCTCTCGAGAGGTGGTACTACCGTGACCCTGCCTCCTGGAACGACGCTGGTGCGCGCTCCAGTGGCACCCAACATGCGACCAGGCATTCCGCAGCAGCTGTCAGTGGTGCGACCGCCCGTTCCAACATCCTCCACGGCAACCCCCAACCTTTCACTTCCTTCGCCCAAGCCACCGCTGCAGGTTCAAGTGCCTGGTGCACCTGTCAGGCTGCCATCGCCATCATCATCGCTGCAGGTTCAGGTTCCGGGCAGCAGTGCCACCGTGCAGCCGGCCAAGTCGGGTGCCTCTGCTTCTAACGTAAGAACAGGGGTGAGACAGCTGCACGTATTGCACATTTTTTATACGATTCTGCTTTGCTGTGCCAAGCGGCTCCAGAAGCGTAAAAGTTGCAAAACTTGCAAGGTGTCGGCACAGCGCCACATACAATGTTTTTTTTTTTTCTTAACCTTTTCATACAGCACCTTTTTCCGTTCTTCTTTATTAAACTTTTTGTGCGCTTGCAATGACATACCAAATAGCCTGTATCAATACCCTTGTTCAGCGAAAATTGCACCTAACTGCTCCGAAACAGCCTCACTAACAAGAATTTTGATACCCGGTCATCTTCAGAGCGGGAAAAAGGTTGACTTGACAACATGATTTCCCAAACAGTGCCAGGAGGGTAGTACAGTCGAACCCCACTACAACGAACGCCGCTTCAACGAAATTCCCGCTAAACGAAAAGTTCACGGTTAGCAGTTCATAGGAGTCAATGCATAAATATTGTCGCCACAACGAACACTTCTGCCGTCCCGCTTCAACGAAATTTCACAATGCGATTCCAGGCTCATTGCTATACAGTGTAGTAAACATAATCTTTAACATTTTGATGCATTTTCAGAATCTGAAAGTATGTCAACGAAGTCTAAAACGTGCATTGGCACTACCAAAAACCACCGCTGTTCAGCAAACATAAGTGCCGACATTGCTCAATAGCGATGGCAATGAGACTGCCCTGCTTTTGTCAATGGCTTCGGAACTCATGAGGGCGGAGAAGATGGCATTAGCGTTGCGGGCGCAGCTGAGCGAGCCATCATTCGCATTAGGAAGATGCACCAGCATCCGATTATGGATTTCTTTGCAGCTAAGTCTGTTTGAAGTGCAATAATATAAGTGCATGACATTCCCTTTTTATTTGCGTAATGCGATTATTTTGTTGCGTACCACCGTGAGGGGAGATGCTATTTCGCCCGTTATTTGTTTTGGGTAACTACAGTGCATATTATTTACAGTAATAAATTCCTGTGGCTATAACGAAATGTTGGTTATAACGAGCAAATCGTGGCAGCCCTCCAATTTCGTTATAACGAGGTTTAATTTGCCGATTCCAAGCCCAACCTTTTGCATTTGTTCAGTGCATTCCTGTTTTCGGGAGTGCTTTTTAAAATAAGCATTCTTGTTCTTTCCAGGTGCCACAGCATCCAGCCTCTTTACCACCTACACCACGGTACATTGATGACCCTAAAAAGAAACGACTACCACCCAAACCTTCTTTGAAGATCACGAAGGCCGCCAGTGGTGAGAAAGGCACGTTTTTGCTTGTCTCTCGATTCGGGGGGAGGAGGGTGGTGTTCATAGTTTTGAGCGATGATACCTGGCTAATATTTGCTTACTAAACGATGGCTGCACACAGTTGAAGAACATTTTGTGCTACTATCAAACAAGAAGGAAACTTTTCCATTGTTGCCCCGTACCACAAATTCTTTTTTTTTTTTTTTGCACAGTTTCTAATCACCTACAGTCGAATCTTATTACTTCGAACTTTTGGTTAATTCGAACTCGCGATGAAGTCCCGTCAAAACTCTGTGTATTTCAATGGGCGAAAACGCCCAGTAAATCGAACACCCAAGCACTTGGGACGGTTAATTCTAACATACCAGGCTCCAAAAATGTTCTCAGCACCCCGCACAATCCCGCGGCGGCACCTCCAACGCCTCAACGCTGTGCAAAAAAAAGGAAAAGAAAAGGGGAAAAAAAAGGCTGCAGGTAGAATGTTCGCTTTCTCTCAAATGCCGATCTGCGACGCGCTTGTGCCACATTTCTCCCTTTTCTTCCCCTGCCACCCAAAGACCCTTCTCCTTCCACTGCCGCGTGCAAAGAGAGAGAGAAAGAAACAGCTGTCATAGAGTGTTAGTTTATCTCAAATGACGATCTGCTTCTCTTCGCGTGGAAACGCTCCTCTTTTCTTGTCACGTGCTGGCCACGCTGCGGCTTTGGCGCAGAGGGTAGTAGCGGAGATGCAGTCGTTGTTGTCATCGTTAGAGAGTGTCGGCGCTGGACATTGCCGCACGCAACTTCTCTTGCCAGGAGATTGTTGAAGCCATAGTAAACATGCTTTGCAAGCTGCGTGCGAAATCGATTGACTCGCTGCAAGGCAAACGTGTGCAGACGCGCATCACCGATTACTTCAATGACGAATGTCCTGTGATTTGTGAATAAATGTAAGTCTTCTGAAACTTCCCCCTCATGTGTTAGCTCAATGCACATGCGCCACTGCATGAGGAGCCCTCTGTTTACTTAGCTTTCATCAATTCAAACTTCTTTTAACTTGAACGAATTTTCGGGCCGCTTCGCGTTCGAATTATCGAGATTCGACTGTAGTTGGAAAGCAGAATGGCCAGATGATGCCATCTACAGAAAGCAATTCTAAATTTTTGTTAGTAGTTGCTTTGCTTTGCATCTTTCTGGCTTTTTCAGCCCTTGTTGTGTTGGTATGTGTATTGAAGAGCACTGAGTGACGGCATTCCTCTTCTTCATCGAGGGGGGTGCATGGTCACTCGGTGCCCCGCCGCGGTGGTCTAGTGGCTAAGGTACTCGGCTGCTGACCCTCAGGTCGCGGGTTCGAATCCCGGCTGCGGCGGCTGCATTTCCGATGGAGGCGGAAATGTTGTAGGCCCGTGTGCTCAGATTTGGGTGCACGTTAAAGAACCCCAGGTGGTCGAAATTTCCGGAGCCCTCCACTACGGCATCTCTCATAATCATATGGTGGTTTTGGGACGTTAAACCCTACAAATCAATCATCAATCATGGTCACTCGGTGTGCGCTGCTCCTTTGGGCTGATCGATCAGGTAGTGCTCTTGCTATGATGAGTACAACAGTTGTTCTGCCATCTACATTGGTTCTGCAAGATTCTTTTTCTTTTTTTCTTTCATTTTTTTCACGTGTCTACTGCCACAGTACGTCGGGTTCAGAGGCATGTGCCTTCGCCCCTCCAGTAGATTGAAACCTGACTGCATCGCTGTCTTCACTCGCTTGCTGCTACAAGCAGCAAACGAGATCATTATGTGACCTTTCCATCCCTGTCTGTCATGTTGGCATCACAATGTGCTGTTACTCCGCATTTCAAGATTTCCCGATATTCCTGAAACTTAGGTCAACACGATACGGAGGAATTTTCACGGCCAGAGGCACGCAGCAGTAAAAGGAGAAAATAATACCGCCAAAAAGAAGCCTATAACGTAACAACACGGAAGTGATGGAACTGAGTTGCCGAGCGGTATTTTAACTTTGTGCTTAAAGTAGCTACAACAACATCCTCGTGCATCCATTTAAACTTGCATGTTTCAGTCAGCGTGCTGCAAAGCATCTTTTCTATTCACAACAGGTTCCAAGGACACGATTGCCGGGCCATTATACATAATTGTGTCACAGTGTGTTTCTTCCCCAATTAACTCTGAAAAAACGAATGCATGAGCGGTGAAAAGCCTAGCCTTGGCCTGTAATCACCACAGTTGACCATGTTCCATTTTGCTGCCCACTTATTCTGGTTTCTTCTATAGGTATGAAAGCCAGGAATTTACTTCGTCTTCAGAGCATCAGCATTCCGTTACGTGCAATCACATCTGTGATGTTGGTGCTTAGATTAGAACACTGTTTTGTCTTTCAGATGTTGAGAATAGGCAGGCCTTCATTATGTGCTGTATAAAGAAGCGGAAATGGCAAGCTGTGTGAAAATTTTTGTGATACAGTCGCCGACCGGTTTTTCGGACCTGGCGAGGACCGAAAAAAAGTACGAAAAATCGAACAGTCCGAAAAATTCGTTTTCGCCAAAAATCTGAAGTTTATTGCATCAGGCAGGTTTAAAAAAGTCCTTGATGCTGCCTTGCCTCAAACTACGCTTGGAGGCAATTTGGTTTGCCCGTATTTGCGCCAAGGTGACATCGTCGCCGTAAACGCTCGACAAAATTGTCACCGCGTTGGCGATCTCCGCCGCCGACGGCTGCGGGCGGTCGTCGTTGTCGTCATCCGAGCCGCTCTCCGGCTCCGGGACAACCTGGCGAAGAATTTCGTCGTCAGTGGCCTCCGCGCACGCTTCTTAACACCACCTGGCTCCCGCGATGGCACAGATGGCGGAGCCATGGCACCGAGAACACAAAATTCGATGCCGCAGATAGCCGCTGCGAAGCACACAACGTCTCGACGCTACGCGACACAACACGTGCAGAATGGCGACTGAAAAAAGCTGCAACGACAATAAAAGAATCCTTCTTTCGCCTCCTCCCCGTGCGATGTGATGACGATAGTGCTGACCGAATACGAAAAAACGGCATCCATCACCGCGTCTTTTAAAAAGCAAACATGGCCTCCGAAACTTAAGATATGGCGTGCGCATTCCAATCTCGGAGGCAGAAAAAGCATCTGAAGACTAAGCTTAGCCAAGCCGACGGAAAATCCAACATGGCGGCGTTCACAATGGCTTGGGGCGTGGCACAAAACGAGCGATTTAGTCCGAAAAATCGAACTTTCAGGGGCAAATTCGCCCGAAAAATTGGTCGAAACAATGCATTAGCTCTATGGGATCCCTGACGGTGCATTTATGAAGTCCGGAATATCCAACAAGTCCGAATTTTTGGAGTCCGGAAAATCGGTCGGCGACTGTATTGTGCTTACGCTTTGGCCAAACTTGTATTACACTAAAGACAGCCTCAATAAGTTAAGCAGATCATGCACATAAGAGAGCCAATTGATGCATTGTTTTTTGCCTCTCTTTACCTTTCGGCTGACATTCTCCTTAATGTGAGGTTTTACCAGCTTTTAAAGCTTTTTGCCTCAATCAGTTGCTTGATATTTCATCTATGAGCATAAGGTTAAAGTGCTTTCTCTTTGGGAAACTGCATTTGCCGCCTTGACTAGACCAGCAACGCAACAGTCAAACTTGTTGCAGCCACGCGTTTAGCACAGTAGCGGTTTCGTTGGGCACGGCCTACCAAAGCTCGCCACAAATTTGGCTCGATGTGAGGAGGTTCCCAGACCACCCGTAAAGGGCAGCCTGTTGCAAATGTGCCCACAGCCGACAACTCGACAAGCGTTCACAAAGCGCCTCCGGCCAACAAACGCGCGGCGGTCAAAAAGGAGAAAGCCGAGCCAAAGCCGCCGACCGCGGAGGACATGGAGAAAGTTCTGGAACAATGGCAGACGTTCCTCGACAAAAAAGAGGAGGACAAGGAGGGGGACAAGAATCGGCGACGGCTGCCCTATCACACGCAGCGGCCCCTACGTCACGCCTGTCTCTGCCGACTGGGCACCTGCCAGTACGAGAAGCTCACGGCAACTTTTAAGGAGCGAATGCACGCGAACTTTGGTTGCCTCGAGCCGGATCAGCAGCTGCGCAAGCTGCTGGGCCGCATGTACACCAAGGGCAAGGGAGCCAAGCGGATCTTGAAGGCCTGCAAGAAAGAGAAGGGCTCTTCGGCCGCTGCCACCCAGAAAGGCAGATGCAAGTGGGTGTACTGGCTGCCTGCGTCAAGTGGGGAGCAGCGTGAGCGCAAGGTCTGCAAGGCGGCCTTCATGGCCGTGCATGGCATCACCGAGAAGAGGACACGCGACGTCCAGTGTGAGTGGCTTGCCCTTTTTGTTGTAGAGACCTGTTAGGACGACTGTATACAGTAAAACCTACGGTTAAAGCAGTTAAAGGTACAGGTAAGCCTCTTTATAAGAGGCATGATTCGGGCAGCGCTGTTCGTCTTTTATTTGAGACGTTTCTTATAAGCAGGGTACCTCGTATGCATTTTCTTTCTGACCCGCATTTCACTGTAGGCACACTGGTGTCTCTTATGCCCATTAGTCTCTAATGAAGGGGTTCAACTGTATCGACAACCGATTTTTATAGACACAGTTATTTCGGGGTGCGACAAGAGTAACCCCCCATAGATAGTGCTTAAAAATGCTCCAGTTGATTACAAAATCGTGTGGATATTTTGTAAGCGGAACTATTTGATCTGACAACCCTCGAAAAAGAAAGGACCTTCCTCTTGCAATACTGAGACGGGATCTTGATGCTAATATCCCTCCAAGCAAACTGTTCACTGCGCTTGACAACATTCTTGCTTTCACAGGAGTGAGTGTAACTGGGGTCAGCCACATTCAGTTTAACATCTTCTACCATTTTTGAGTAGAAGCCGCTGGTATAATAAGTTGTCAAAATGGTTGATTGGGCGAGTTGGTGATTCATGATTGTTTGAAACAAGAGCGTGAAACGTAGACACGGACAGGATAGACAGGGAAAGTAGAATAAGTTTCCTCATATTGGTGTCGTTACATGATGTCCCTTCACTGCCTCGCGAGCTGGACGCTTGTGGTGCTTCTACAGCTCATCGGCAGACGTTCTTGTCGGCTATCGACTTTCGTGCTGCTGGTCATCAGTATCGGATCGTTTATCAAGTAAAGGCAGCAGCTCTGTTCTGATTACTAAAACTGTAGGCTTATTTGCATTGAGTTAAAAAACTAAAATTATAATTTAAAACGTGTACTGGATTTTTGTAGTAAAGTAGGGAACATTAGCTGCATACACCAGTAAAAGGTCACGTGATTGGACTACTCTTCGTTTTCATTTGCCCCATGGGGTGCCAAAAGTCATCACTCACAACTTTAGTAAAAAAAAATGTAAATTTGTGTCTGATGAGAAAGACTGCTCATTTTATTCAGTGTGATAGGCAATCTTTTTATTAGGAGGGTCGCTTCAGTTTGGGTGCTGAGTTGTTGTCTGTCTTTCTAACAAAAACATAACTACTTTTCTGTATATAAAGCATGTGATGAAAGTCGAACATGTCATGCAAAAAATTTAGTCAAGCCTATGAATTATGCAGAATTATATTCAATCTACCAAACAGTTGTAAGCACCCATTGGCTTATCCAGAGAAGAGTTTGGGATGTATCAAGCACTTCCAAATAAATATTTCTGCATTTTGTTAGTGATGGGAATGTTTCAGCAGTCAATCTAGAATGCAAAATTTCATTAAAGCTGCTGCATCCCTGCTACAAATGAAGGAGACTGCTCCAATGCTGCTTCTAAATGTGGCATTCAAGATAGCTGGAGTGTAAAAAACCCTCCTGTGCTGCCTCAGAGGCCTACAACCAAGATAACTTGTGGTCAGTGCCAGTTGTCGCTACCCAATGTGAATAGGGCAGTCGCATCTCCTGTCTTTCCTGAAGCTTTCGGAGACGACGAAATTTGATGCACACTCGCACGTTATTTCGTATGGAGATATGTTAGCGCTCTTCACGTGTAATTGGGTTTGCTTGGGCAATTTCACACATTTTCAATGGAACCTGTATTCTAGATTCGTGTTCTTAGGGTTATTTAGATGGCTCCAAAAGGCTTCTTTTCCGAGCTATTAAAGCTCCTTCTTGAGCATTTGTCCAGTCTTAGACACTGCAGTATTTTACAAAGATTTATATAATGATATGTAAGTATGAAGTATATCTAGACAGTGTGTGGTCAAAAGCTGAAGTGCTGTACTGAAGAAACATAGGTACTGCACAAGGTGAAGGGGGGGAGGGGGGATTACTAGGGGAATTGTTGACGTCTGAGATATTGTAAACAAGCCCATATGTGCATATTACTGTCATTTGCATTGGAGAACATATCAGTGCCCCTGTCGCCAGACTAAAATATTCAAGACGAAATGGTCCCTGTAGTAGGACATGCTCCATAAAGTAAGCTTGTTGCTTCAGTGTCTGTCCCTATGCTCTAAATGCTGCTCCGAGGTGACACTGGCAAATCATGTCACTGTTCAGGTGTGATAGCAGGCCTCCTGCTTCTGTTTATTCAAATGACCAGAATTTCTCTAATTAGGCATTTCCACATTGGTTTCCCACATTACCAAGGATATTGGCATTTTTTTCAATTTTGGGTGCTCCATTTATTTGCCTTTAATATACCTGGTATACGCAAAAAGTTGACAGCGGCAGTGTTTTGATCTTTTAAAGTATAATGTATCACAGCAGTTTTTTCAAGCACAGCAGGGGTCAGTTAATGAAGGAACTAGCATAAATAACCAGATTTCTTACCTCGTTGAGCTGCTCTGGAATAAAAGGGTTCTCCTGCCCCAAAAATTGATTCAGAACATATCCCAGCTATGCTTGTGAACAGGTTGATCGAGTGATGGTATTGAACGTATCGAATAATTGTTCCATACTATATCTCACGGCTGTTCAGTACTTTCAGGGGACAAAGGAGCCAAAATTTTGGGGATGAGATGTATAGATAAGGTTAACAGTTATCTCTTTGAAATTTTTTTAGAAAGCTTTGAATGGTTTGCATGTAAGGCTTAAAGAGGGACACTAGAGAGAATACACTTCCCGAACAGCCCCTTGTAGAGCCATACATATGAATGGCCATTTAGTAGGGCCTCATAATTCTTTCTCGGCACAAAAAAAAAAAAAAAAAAGTAATTGATTTGAGCTCTAGGTGAGCCAAAATTTTAAACATGCCATGCTTAGGGAACTTGTATTGAAATTAGCTACAATCGCACCCACGTACCACTGACACTGATACTCTGTGCGTGAAATGTGAAAATTATGGTTATGAGCTGAACCTTTCCTCTTGGCAATCAACCAATTAATTTTAAAACATCGTAAATGGAGCGATGGTGTCGAAAGTCACAGAAAGAAATTTGTCACGCACATATCATTTCATTTTGCTAAAATCTTATTCCATTGGTTATATTTAGAACGTTGTGCTTCAGTTTTGATAGTCATGTTGTCTACTGCTTAAGAGCTTTTTTTTACCACGTTAGATTATTGTTTGTATGCCCTTGTAAAGGAACAAACATTTTTGGCAAAAATTATGCCCGTATTCAGTCATGAAGGTGGTAATGGTATAAATGATCAGGTTTTCTGCTGTAAAGTAGGTATAGTTTGTATAGAACAGGTGATCTTTTTGCCAGCATAGACTGGTACTTGTGGTAGTGCTGTTAACACTGATAATGTACGCTTCTCTCCTTGCTGTCGCCAGTGCTGTGGATGAGACTGAGGGCCAAGCGTGGACGCACCCCCACTGGTGACGAGTCTGACATCGAGCAAGAGGAGTTGATGCCCGGCACTTACACAGACATCGACGACGAGGATGAGGAATTGTCCGAGAAGCCAGCACTAAAGCGTGCTTGCAAACCGCACAGGGGGCGCAAGGTTCTCAGGGTACCTGAAAGCGACGACAGCAAAACGACAGACAATAATGTTACCTCCAGTGTGGAGAGCAAAGTCAGTGATGTACATATGCCAGAGAATGGTTCAAAGAAGACCGTGAAGTTGCAGTCGTTACATGCCCCCGAAAAGAGCACTGTACCTAGTCAAGATGGGGATGAAATGGAAGGATATAACAAAGCAGATGATGATGACGATGATGTGCCTTACCTTGATATGACTGGATTTGAACCAATATGTGCACTGGAAGAGGACAGCGAAAACCTGGTCCTTTCTCTACCGCGGGGTGAGTGTCCAACACTTTTTTTCTTTCCTTTTATTTTAACCATAGCTGTGGAGACTGCACCTTATAACACTAGATTGCCGTTAATGTGATTTAGTTTTATGAGTCTGCTCTTCTTTTATCTCAATCATGAAGACCTCTACCATATTTAATTTAACGGTCAGCTGCTCACCCTAATGGTGTCTAAAAAACATTATTTCCTGGCTGGTGCTCGAGAAACAAGGAATTCAAAATGCGCATCATCTCCTGTGCCGAAAATGCCTGCTTCAGCTTGAATTAAGAAGTGGAAATGGTGGTTCACGATTGGAGATCACTTTATTTGACCAATTCCAATTTTAGGATTATTTTTTTTACACCAAGTACAGTAGAACCCCGGTCCTATGTTTTTTAGTGCTGCGTTTTCCCAGCTGCTATCTCTTTTTCTGGTGGTCACTTCCTAGCTCCTACATGATCCACGGTATTAGACCTACTTTTACATCGCAATTGTGGCATCATTTTCTCGGAATATGTTGTAAAGCTTGCTCCAAACCAGACAATCGTCCACGAAATAAGAGCGACCGTGCGCACTTTTCACGGATCTTATTCTGCCATGATCACAAGGTTAGCTGCACAAGTGGCACAAGTTGTTTCCATAATGTGCTTCTGGTTGCCACAATCATAAGCACAGCTTTCTATGTCAGTGAAAAAATGACATCTGCAACACAATGAATTTAGAACTTGTGTTCGCCGTTTGTAAAAGTGAGGCCTTCGAGACTACTCTTTGTTTCCACTGCTGCGTTGGCATAGACTTGTGGCTATCATGACTTGTCTAAATCTGCAGTATGCACATGCAGCCACTGTTTTTGGGGGTTTGGGGGGGGGGGGGGGTAGTCGCATTAATTGGGCAGGCATGGTGCATGTACTTAATTATTTCAAAACTTGAGCCGTTGTTCCCGACAGAATCATTGCATACGTCCGTGTCATTTCTGTGGTGGACGCCGTTCTCTCCTTCACGTTTCCATTTGTAGTCTAGATCATGGCTGAGTGTGTCATGCGTGCGCCAGCGATAAAGTTTAGAAAGAGGTGGAGCAGAGGACGCAACCTTGGACAATTCCTTTCGGTAGTACGTGCACTTCTTGTGAGGCATTCATCTGTCTGCTAAGAGTTAGAGTGGTTTGATGCCATGCCAGCAGTGCTGCGTAGACATCGGCACATCCGATGACTACTTCCTCAATGTAGTATTGCCTAAAATAATCACTTGGCTGCAGTGTTGGCTTTAGTGGCACCTAGCAAAAAAAAAAAAAAAAAGAGAGTGCAGCACATGATCAAAAACTCAATTGGGCTGATTGGGCATAAGCAAGCTCACCCGGCAACATTACATGTTTTTTTTTTCTTTTATTTTAAACACGTCTTGGAAAGGAATTCTGTGCAGTTTACTAGTTTTCGGGATTTTCTAAATTTTTCCCTTTTATCAGCTCTTGTGTTTTCTGGCCCCTATGTTTATTTTTTTACGGTGTTGTGAAAAACGTATCAGTGGGGTTCTGCTGTAGTCATTCGGTTGGCAAACATAAATTGCTTTTTTCTTCTCTTGACCTTGTTTAGTCGTCATAACATCACCCACATCTTGTGACTTCTGTGCTAAAATTACTTGGAGAGTAGGATGTAAAATAATGATAATGAAACAGGAACAATATTCCTGTTTCACCATAACTAGTTATCAATCAGTAGATGTGGCACATTAAAACGCTGGTTTCTTAGTGTGGTGAACATTGTGCATCAACTGGCATACAATATTATGCCACTTTCTCTGAAAAATGAAATTTTTGGGAAGCTTTTTTATGTGACACGCAAGGAGGCAGTGTCCAAATTCCTGCTTTACTGACAGTTGCCCCGGCGTAGAAGAGGCATATCGTAAAGGCTGTGATTTGGCGTGTTAAATATGCGGAGCATGATTATAGAGCCGTAAACATGTCTTTATTTTGTTCGATAATCTGAACAGCCCACCGTCCATCAAAGCCGCCTAACCATCCTATCACAAGATGGTGACCGAGAGATTGAGTTCTCACTATTGTGGCTAGTGGGAAATAAAGAATGTCAGCTTGGAAATCTTGATCTTCACACCTATAGCACAGCATTCGTATCGTACCTCTGTGTGCAGTCCCACCTGTGTGCTATAGGTGTGAAGTTGATGAGTCAGGCCAAGCTTAAGAGCTCCACAGGAAGATGTGGTGTGCGCCTTAATTAACAGCACTGTTCTAAAGTTGGATCTCTCTCACGTTGACTGGTGTGTGGAGCAGTTCTAACCTGGTGCCTGCAGCTGTCTTTTCTCAGTTTCCTGCTAGTAGTGCCTAAGGGGTCAAAAAAACACTTGCGTATTGAGGTGGCAAATACGTTGACATCGGTGCGTGTTGCACGTGTCGTCCTTTTCCATATTTAATGCCTATGACCGACAGCTTATGTTGGCTTATGCTGCATCTTGTTACAAGAGCGAAGCTGTCTAAAATTTTGTGTGTAAAATTCAAATGTTGTTTTATTCATATAAAAAAATTTTACATAGCAAAATAATGCACAGAAGGAGGTTCCAAAGCTCTAGGCTGCGAGGGTGCCTCCTGTATTGGACTGTGCAAGTCCAATATTGCAGTTGTAGAATTGAACATGAACTACGGCTTCACAGCAGAACAGAGAAAGGTGAACTTCAGTGCATTACTTTTAATACATTTGACCTTTAATTAAGACGAAAGACATGGATAACGTGCTGACTCACAGCAATGGTTGGACGAAGTTTCTTATCGTGCATGGAACATAAAGTAAATATTCCCTGGCAGATTACGGAGGGTTCGAAATGAGCAGTGCAATTAGCTGTGTGGCAATAACATTACCTTTCGAGGCATATGCGCTCTTTTCGTTCTATAACATGTGAACTAGCTTTTGCTTTAAAAGCTGAGCTTGGCAACACGCAGCCTTGATAATATACTCCAGCAGCACACAGCTCTCTCTGAGGTTGTTGGGCCTTGTTTGATCAGTGTTGATTACTGAACATCAGCAGGGTTAGGTAATGGGCCATTTGGGATTGCGTGTTTGTTAAACTGCACTATACTTACAAGGTACATTAGGCTAGAAAATACGCATGACATGAGGTCAACAGCCCATGTGCAGACTATCAACTGGGTTTATTGCTGATGGACATTGGCATCAGCTACAAGTGCAAAGTCCTGTGCCTTTCATCTTCTCTCATTTTTCAATTTTCTTTAACCTCTGGAAATGCCTGTAAAGGCCGTTTTTCGAATCTATGTTGACTGGGAACGCGAAGTTGCTATGACATTGGGCGTGGATATCATTTACTGTGAATGGCATAGAACATATCATTCAGCAGGGGTATAACTTGAGATTCAAGTGTGAACTGCTGTAATTCTGCATACTAGGCATCTTTCAAACTTTAGAAAGTGTGTGTGTCTGAAAGAGCTTAATTAAACTATACTTCCTGAAAATTGTTTTATCAAGTCAAGTTTTATATGTCTGTAAAATAATCTGAAGGTTGCTGTTTTTCATCTCGTGTAAGCCCAAATCACATGTATGCTTGCATGTGCACCTATAACACTGAGGTTACGCAACTATAGCATCACTTTATTCTTCACTGGTTTGATCAATGTGAAGTAGCCAATTCAAAAGTTTTTTTTCCAAGACGAGTTTTGGGATACAAGTTCGTTTCACTGCACGGCTGCAGCGTTAGCACAGCTGGAAAGGTTGCAGGGGGTGTTGAACACCCCTCCTTTCTCATGTGACTTTTCAGGGTTTTTCATCTGTATTTACGGAGTGTTTAATTTAACAAAACAAAATGTAAAAGAGGAAGTTGTCAACCGCAACTGAATGAAACGAATGACATGTGGTTCGCTTTCACGTGGCACTTGTTAGTGATTATGCAAAATATGCAACATATTTAATATTTAAAAGGCTCTGAAACTCTTCTTCAGCACGGTCAGAATACACTGCCAATTAATAGTCAAGGCTCCCGAGAATGCGCAAGATGGACGCTTATATCACAGCACGCATCCTGGAATTTACGATTAATTCTAAACGTCGGCTAGAAGCCGTTCCGTCTTCTCTCTACAAATTTTTCCATTAAACTCGAAACACCATGCCACGATACCAAAGTCCACAACTGTTGGCTGGTGTCAATATCGTGACCTGCATAGTTACCGTGGCTGCGACAAGATGCCGCCACATGCCTTTGCGCGTGTGCATGGTCACACTAAAATTAAGGCGTGCGGTTTGAGAGAAAACAGAAGTGCTCAAGGTCATGACGCGCACTGACGGAGCGATGCATTTCCTTGTCTTTTGGTCGTCCCTTTCCCTGCATAGCTTTCAATGCACTCGCTAGTACGAAAATAGAGATAAAGTGCCTGAGGCATGTGACGAATTTTTGTGGCAGTCAATTCGTTAGGTAATAAGCTCTTCTAATAAATCCAAACGATGGTTAGTTAGAAAGTGTTGCGGGGCCCCTTTCGCTTCAGTGGTGAGTGTGTTTCGTTTGTTGTAGCAGTCACTGCAACTGACGGCCGATCCAATCTTTTGTGACATTCCATGTATGTGCTGTGTGGTGATTTTTTTTCTGCCATCGAAAGATAGCCCGCAAAATAACATATATGGGAAGCCAATGGCTAGAGCCACGACCACTCATTTCGCTGCAATCCAGGGGCGCTGCAGTATGGCAGGTCACAATCACAGTCATGGAGATTTCTTCCATATTTCGTGGGCTTTGAAAGAAAAAAAAAAGTGCCACATGGACAGTAGAAAAAGAAAAAAAATGCCATGATGCATGTGTGTTGCCACGAAAAAATCGGATCTGTCATTTTAGAATACCCTCTACAACGTAACTAAACACTTTGCCATTAAGTGAATATGAGATATGTATTTCATGTTAGGTTTTCCTAGTTAAGCTCTTGAGCAAAATGTTACATATACCTTAACCCTAAAGAATGCCACACGATGACATACCATGCCCTTAAAATTTTAGTTGCGAGTCAGTGCTGTTCTCTGTCGTTCTTTTGCTCATCCTCATTTTTTTGCACTGTTAATTTATTGAAACCATATGTCGTTGCTTTCATGAAGTTGCAGCTAACCACGTTTTATTTAACTAAGCGGTTAAAATTGCATCAAACGTATTGCGTACAGCTGCGGCCACGTCTGTGTAGAGCGCTCGAACAGCCGGTTTTTGTTCTGTGGGCCGAAATCTTCAGGCAGTTTTGGGCTTTGTAGTGGTTTATCAGGAGGATGCACGGCCTAGTTATCAGGCTGACCACGTCAGAGCCTGATACTGCCCATGGTCAGCCTGATACTGCCCCAAGGTTTCGCCCCGCAGAGCAAGAACCGGCTGTTCGCGTGCTCTACACCGATGTGGCCGCTGCTGTACATGCATATTGTGTGGATGAGCATGCATGAAGGGTGTTTGTGAACCCCTCCCTGTATATATAATTATTAACTGAGCACATAGCAGGGCTCTAAAGCTCCTCAGCTAACGAGCTGCAGCCACGAAAATGCACTTCCACGGCGCTCAGGACAATGACAAAAGCAAAAGCAGGAGGGGTGGGGGCGAATGTCAGCCGACATTGCCATTTGAAAAGAGACCTTTTGCATATCTCACGTACAACTACTTACTGAAAGGTCATTTGGTGCCATGATTTCAGCAACTTATCAATGTCTATCTTCAAAATGAGTAGAATCTTGACACCGATTCTCAAAAGTAGAGTTTTATTTTACGGTTATGTGTCAACACATGGTGACTGCAGGCGATGCCTCACAACAAAAAGGCTTTAGACCAGTCATGCTTATGTAGCTCAGGAACATACTTGTCAAGAATATATATTTTTTTTAATTATCACCTCTAACATTCTGTACAGACTGCTTAAAGCTGGAATCTCCGGCCACAGGCTGTTGCAGACATCGTAGTAGAAGCCAAAGTTACACTAGAGATACTCTCGCCGAAAGTGGGGGTTGGCCCTGGTGAATGTGTTTCTGCCATTGCCACAATGATGCTGCTCTGCCCACAATGCCGCTTCCACGGCTCGCCGCTGTCGCTTGCATTCGGCTCGGAAAGCTGTCAGATCCTCAGTGCAAAGTTGCCGCTTGTGCTTCGCCACCCGGGCCTATTCTTGTGCCCGGACTGCTGCATCGGCCTGGCAAACGTGAATTCTCTCGCGAATAAAGTTTCGACACTGTTCTTGGAAAGTTGTCTGCTTTTTCGGGCGTTCATACGGTCGGCGCTCACCCAATTTAGAAGTTGCAAGTTGAAACGGCTGCGCGGGCGCTCGGCGGCACGGTCGCAAAAAGATGAATGGCGTGACTAACAGCACTGCCAATGCCGTTTGCACTTTGGTGTGACGTAGAGAAAAACGTAACTGAAACTGTTATTGAAACTCATAGCAAACAGTTTTTCACTTTGCCTGGCCATATACGGCTTTTGCTGTGAAAAGATGGGACTAAGACAATCATGTGGGTGGTGGGCCATATGATGTTTGAGACCCTTGGCACATAGTTACAAGTTGCACAACTCTACCATGTGCACGCTTATGCTCATCTGGCAATGTCATGTCGCTGTTTCTTGTAAATATAGCTGTCTCTTGCAAGACATAGAACCGAAATGTGTGTTCCCCTCCGCAAGTGTACACGTGGTTTGGGCTTTGTAAATGTCTTAAGGCCATACTTTTGCATATCTTGCCCAGTTTGTCTGAATTTTCTGTCCATGATAATATTGCATATTATTACATCAGAGTAACTCATTACTGACTAATGGTGTTCTCACTGGTAACAGGATTGACTTCTAAGTTTTATGTTAAAAGCAACTAATTTGTTGTGCCACCTTCATTGCCTATTTTCCCTACGTTTCGCATCATTTATGTTTGGTGGTGTAGTGTAATGGCTTTTTTCTCTTTGTGTTTTCTTATAAGGTGTCTTTGGGGAGGACGAAGAAGTTACAGGAGCAACTTGAAAGGTGTTTCTTTTTTTTTCTTGCCCATGGATTCATCAACTTTCTACAAAAGGTACCTTTTTTTTCTCGCGGATGTTGCAAAAAGAGTTGCACCCATGGCTACGGTGCCCCCTTCCCCCCTGTCTCCTACAAGCTGGTTGTGCCACGATACCTCAGAGCACTGAGTTTGCGACGTCACTGCTTGTCGTCGTGAGGCCGACCATCCAAGTGCTTTGTTCCCGCAGTTTTCATATTTTTACGACTGTTGAATTTATCTTGTATGGTACCAGATACCCCATTCAGGAATAAATTGAGTGCTGCCTGAAAGAAGTGTCGTGGCCAGTTTTTTTTTTTATTTTGCCCCCACCCCCTACTTGTCCTCAGCTGCAAACTGACTTTATGAAAGCACTCCAAGCAGCCTTCAAAACATTGCATGATGCAATGAAGGTCTGCTGGCATGAAGATTCATAGCAGCACAAATGAATGTTTTCCACTTGTCATTCTTACCCACACAGCTCTGACCTGTGTACCACTAGCATGTGGCTGACTCGGCAAATTGCTAACGCATTCTTGCTTGTCCATGTTGTTTAGTTAGCCGTAGCTATTAATTAAAAGCAAACTTGTCAGTGTAAGGGTGCAGATAGCATTGTTCTGGCCAACCTCTGATCTGTGGCACAGAAATGGGACGTGCACACCTATCTATACACATATTTTATGAGCTACAACTCCTATTGGAGAGCTTCAAACTGTGACCTATACATAGTTTTCAGCATCACAAGAGTGATTGTGAAATACCTGCGTACACACACACACTAATGACCGGTTGATACATTCTTGTGCCAGGAAGACAAGTTTGCTTGTCCAAATGTTGACTCCACACAAACCGTGTTTACGGACTTCTTCATATTTAAATCGAGGGCATTTGTTTTTTTTAATTTCTCCACCCAAGCAAACAAAGCACTTATTGAGAGCAATGCGTTGTGTTGACATGCTGCAGTGATCGGCCGTTGACTCAGTGGCCTGGGGCATCGGCACATAAACGTTTACTTGCTCTCCCCTCCCTCCCTACTCATCCCGGATTCGCTGCACAGCTGGAATGTTGGCTGCATTTTCACGCCACTCCCAGGCTGGAGTACCGTGAGCGCGGTTTTTCCGTTTCCTTCATGTGGCTTTTCCGGGTTGGCGAGGTGTTGGAATGGGAGAGCCAGTGATCACTGTAGCATCTTGCGGCAACCTCATTGCTTATTTGTGCTCTGTCACAGTGCTCTTATCGTGTTTTTCTTTCTCGTGCAAATTGGGGGTCTTGCACACTGTCTCGTCTGCCTGCATCCTCGCTGTATTTTCTCTCCCGCCTTTGTTCCACGTTGTCCGAGAATCCTTAAGATTTTTCACAGCACAGAGTCGCAGAGTAACGCTCATATTATGTCTTGCTCATCATTGTGTTCATTGTTTGTGCACTTGATGCTGACAGCTTTTGCAATGGCTGTCCTGGTGCCGAACTCGTAGTTGTGGATTTGGTTCCCAACTACATAATCATCATTGCAGTAATGTGTGCCTTGGATGCATATTAAGCCAGCACTTCTTTTTACAGTAAAAGTTGTTGTGACACCACAACAAGGATCGCATGCGCCGTAGTTGTCCGCTCTCGCCTGTGTAGTTAACCACTATCGCGCGAAATAAAAAAAAAAACAGCGTGAATAAAAATCTTGAGGACACAGTGGGACTTGAACCCGGGTCCCCTGTGTGCCAGCCCAGCGTTCAACTACTGAGCTACGCCGGTGCTTGAAACTTCATCGCAAACTGATTCTAGGCAGGCTTCATGTCGGGAAAGGGATCTCGTTAGTATGAGTAAGCGTTTTAGAACAACCAGGCCTCAAACTATGCAAATCGTGGAGTGAGTGGGTCGTCGAATGCTCCAACTCATTACTAAAGTGTCAGGCATAGTTCTTCATCGTCGTCAGCCCCAGCATCAAAAAAAGAAAATTGCACAAAGTTTTCTGCACTTGTATAGTATGTGCTATGCTGCCTCTCTCACAGCTGTTGCAGTGACTGTGGTGTGCGTTGTGCACAGACCTGGCTATTTTTTGGTAACACAAATTGTTAAGCATAGTCATTTTGGGACAAATACTAATCTAGCTATTATCAAGGATTAGTGAATTCGACTGGTTGAAATATTTGATGTGATAACCGATACCATGAAGCAGCAGTTCTATTGTGTGGACAAAGCCCATAGTGATGACGTGTGAGGCGCACACTAAAAGGAAGACTGATGTCCCTTCTATTAATAAGTTGCTTTTTCACTATGCCGTTTTTTCTATCTGAAAATGTCTGGAAGACAGAAGGCGAGGCCAACATTAACCAAGATAAGTTTTTAAAGTCTGTAATGCCATACTGATGTAGTGGCATCGTGGTATTTGCATAAAGAAAAAAAAAATAGAAAAATATTAATTAAATATTTGTGACCTCTATTTTCTCTTTTAATTTATAAACATGATCAAAAAAATAGTTTGTTTATAACTTGGTTTAGCATTTGCCTTTAATGTTCACTAAATTACTACTGTTGTGTTAATATCTCAAACACTGTATGATGAAGTGTGCTTACTGATCGAGTCAGATGAAGGTTCAAGCCGAGTCAAAATCTTGTCGCGGGGTTGCGATGATGAAGAAAGGGGAAGTCTGGCTGTTCTAGACGTAACTTCTTTATGGACGAACTTGTGACCAGGAAATGGAAAGTTGAACTACAAGGGATCACAGTTGTCGACCATCAGTAATTTCGATTACTGATAATCTGCTCATCTCTGCCTCAGAGCGACAGAGATGGGCGGGCTTCTTTGATCTCGGCTTCAGCTGCGTTCATCGCCCTCACTCGCATACTATTACCTGCAGGTAGATCGTACAATGCGCTGGGGGATCTTATGAATTCGAACTTTATGTGCGACATAATGGCAACAGCGACGGCAAAACCCCGTCAAGAGCATAGAGTTTCCCATATATACAATACAGGGAACTTTGGCGCTAGTGTCTGCGGGAGCTGCAACACACGGCGCTTCAGCGAGCATGGGAACGATGGGTAGTACACACATTTGTCTGATATTCGTACTTGTGGCCTGCTTTTGGCTCCGTGTGTGTCCGCGTGGCTTGGAGCTTTTTTTCTCACGATGCAAAAATCTGCAAAAGTTCAGCGGTTGCCCTTCACCACCTTATTTTTTTTATGCTTACCATTTCAAATCGGATCGTGAAGTTCAAAAGGATTCATTCTTTCCTTCGAAACAAAACTGAAACACAGCAATAAACGAAGCCACAAGTGCTATTTATCAACCGCAAGTACAAAGACTAGGCAAATTTAGAAACTACCCATCATTCCCGTGGTCGCTGAACTATCAAAGTGTCAGAGTCCCCTCTAGTTAATTCTGGGAAACTCTATGATCGATAGTGTCCATTTAATTGCTGTCTTGATATGAGAAAACTGAAAAGAAACAGAGCAGGCAGTTAAGCTGCACACTTTCGTCGGGCTTGGCACATTTAATGCCAAGCTTCCTTGTTCATGTGCATCGTAGAATGCCACATACCCATAAACACACATCAATAATTAAGGCTTGGCAGTAATCAGACACCCATATACTTTATCCTTGCTGTGCCTGCCTGAAGGGATTGCATGTCACATGTGAGCCAAGATTAGTCGTGATAAAATAGAAAGTAAGTAGATAGTAAATAGAAAGAAAGAAGAAAAGTATCGGTGATGCATCGGTTGTACTACGCGAGGCGATGTACTTTCTTTATATTGGCTTATATGTATTTGATGTTCTGATATGTGCATGGGCAAAGAAGGTGTGTGTGTGTTATGCATACATGCATATCTATTTACTTTGTTGTAGTTTTGCTCATTTTATACAAATTTGAAATGTGAAGATGTGCGCTTGCCATGATATCGAACCTAAAAGTAGTGGTGTTAGTTATGAGAGGACATACAAGAAATCAGAGACACTGTGGCATAATTTACGACAGTATGTTCGAGCCATACCTGTAACATATACTGTATTTTTCTTGCGTGTAACCTTCACCTTCACTAGTGAATCATTGAAAATGTTTTTTTAATGATCGCTGTGTAGAGCTCTATCACGAAGCCCCCCGGCTTCTCTTTACACACCTGAATGCGCACCTAATCTTGAATTTAGTTCCACTTTAGCTCTTTGTTAATGACACGCCAGAAATTATGGTTATTATACTGCAGACTTGTTTTCAAGAAACTTCGCTGCCGTTCGCAGTCGGAGCCGCCATTCACTGTCAGGACTGCCACTGCCGATAGGAAGAGCGTCTCTTTCATCAACAATGGACTCTCCCAAAATAGCTGTGTGCACTATTTAGATGCTGATCATTAATGAAACAGCCACTATTCCAATCAGCAGGAGCACATTTGACATACTGACAATAGACAGCAACTCAACAGCAATCAGGGTTCACTCGTGATCGATGGAGACACTTCTGTTTTTTTATGCAGTGTCTTTTTTTAACGATGTGTGTGCATCGTTATATCTTTGCATAGCAAGGAAAAATATTATGCTTCAGTCACAATTAAAAAAAATGTATAATGGCAGCCAATCATTAATCTACTGTCACTACTGAACGAAACAAAAATGAAAGCAAACTTTTGTTTCTTTGAACTCCTGAAAATGAATTCGTTTCACATTTATGCAGCTGATTAACTGCTTCAAATGGCTGTCGCAATAGCAGATATGTTTTATCTTTCAAAAGAGCAATGATCAGTGGTAGTTTATGCAGAAGGTAACAAATTTAGCTTTTGCTTGTGTAAGTGGCTTCTACTGGAAATACGTGGTATTTATATTTCGTCATGGTGAATGTGTAAAATATTAAGTGAAACTTTAGTTTCAGAGGCAGCTGCCTTGTAATCTAGTTCCACCTAATATTTGAGTAAAGGTGGCCCTGTACTGTACTCTAAACAGAATGCCAATATTTAATGCTAAGTTATGCACGCACTTCTATATTAAGCATCTGCAGTTCATATCATATCGGCATAGTTTTGACTCTAACACTTATGTTGCACGAACATTTAGCGGCCAGATTTTGAGCAACTAGATACTGTTATCGTGAGCAGTTGCTCATAGCAGTTGTTATAACAACAAAAAGGAGAAAGAAAACAATAACCATGTCATGTTTCAGTCCCCAAGTACTGTGCATGCACTCTTACTAGCTGATTGTTGTTGTGAAAAAAGCCTGTGTTTGTGCTTTCGCGTGTCATCTGTTGTCTTTAAAAGGCTCCCATCCTATGCTTCTGCCATTCATTCAGCCACGTTTTAATCTGGTCTTCACTAACAGGTCTGGTGCTGTCGTGGAACATGACTTTCAACTCGCTTTATGCCGAGATTCAGACGTACCAGCTGTACGCTTACCAGGAAACGGACAGCCCTCCCGCTACATCCCACTGGAAGAAAGTTGGTGATGTGCGAGCATTGCCCCTGCCAATGGCTTGCACACTGACTCAGTTCATCGAAGGACACAAGTACCACTTTGCTGTGCGGGCTGTCGACGTTCACAACAGGCTCGGCGCATTCAGTGATCCATCCAGCATCCTACTGTAGTGAGGATGACTCATCGAAATTCGTGGCTTAGTGCAAGAGACCATCTCTCTTCACGGAAACCTGGTGCGATTTGTGTAGCACATCTTTCATTCATCTGACCTGGACAAAGTTGAGTGATATTGTGAATGACTACGATGTTTGTCTGCTAGTGAGAGCTCTTCAAATGTCTGCGAGTGTTACGCCTCATGTTTTTAAAAGCACTGCGTTTTAAAAGCAGGCTTCATTTGCTGTGGAAAAGCACCCCCTTTAGGAACATTGTGTCCTATGTCTCGACGAGTCAAACTGGGTGTCTTCATGCATTTCTAAGAATGGCTCAGTGCCAGTCATGATAGAATGCAGGTTCGTAGCATTGCTCATCATTCATCCACACCCTGTCTTTAATGCGTGCAAAACTGTCTCTGGTGCAAAGATGTAGCCTTGATGCCTTGAATAGAGTGCCATCATGCTAGATGAGAGACTTGTGTATTTCAGACCTTGCTCACAGTCAACGTCACTACCTTCATTCAAATGCAGTCGTTTTTTAGGCTCAAGTTCCTCCGTAGACTTGAGTTTGACAAAATTGGCTAGCTAGGAGGTAAGGCACCCTAATGTGTGAATGTGGAAGTGGTGATACATTCAAAGACCCACTTTTGAGGCCAATCTTTTCAAACTAAATGGCACATTTCAGCATTAAAAACAAATTTAAATTTTGTTTGGAGTAACAGCAGGCCATATAAAATGCCGCACTTTCGTATGTTGGGAGCTGTGCTGGTAACAGTATTTTCCTCATGTCAGCAAGGGAAAGCCCGACTAGTCGAGTGCACAAAGGTACTCTATACCTATTTGGGCAGTGTGGTCTACATAGTACCTGCCGTGTATTGTGTGTTTGATGTGCAGGTCGCACATAAATTTGCCTAGGTGCATCGTTATCTACTGGATCATATTTCTTGCGTTTTCATAGCACTTTTAGCCTCAGGGAGAGGTCCTTTTTCTTTTGTAGTTTCTCCTCAAGGGGAGGGTGTTTAAGATTGTTTTGTGAAAGATGTACAGAAATTGTGCATTGTAATCAAAGCTTTGTCTTGTTCTATTGATTTAACCCAGAGTCATTTTGAATTTTCCAGTCTCGAAGTGTTCTTTTAAGTATTTCAGAAATATTTTGTGCATAAATTATAATACTGCAGAGGCTGTTAGTTTTTTCACTGCCCATTGTTGAATTAAAACGTGAATAAAATGTTTTTGACATCAAATTTTAAAACGTGCTGTTCTATTGAAATATGCACTGCACTTCTTTAAAGGGGCCCTGCAACGCTTTTTGAGCATAATCAGAAAACGCTGTCCGATCGGTTCTCGACAACACGAGAGCCAAATAATATAGCGCAGCACGCAGCCTGAAATTCACAATAAATTATCAGTCAGCTAAAAATGGCTTTCTCTTCTCTCGACAAGTCACAGAATGTGCCCAAAAATCATACGTAGCAAGCCCATCTTACAGCCATTGTCAGATTTGAATATGGCGCGCTTGCTGGTTACAGAGATCGCCGCGGTAGGCCGCTACTTGTCCATGCGTGCGCACGTGATCACACTGAAAAAGCCCTCGCATTGGAAAAAAGAAAAAAAGGGCTCAAGGTCATTAGGCGCGGGTGATGTTTTTTGTTTGCCCATCCCTCCCTGCTTAGCTTCTAGCGCTTTCGTCAGGGACGAGAGAAGAGATAATACAATTGCAGCATGCGACAAACCTTTGTAACTCCACTCGCGCTGGACGAATTCTTCAAATTTTTGCGGTGTTGAATTCGTGAGGCAATAAGCTTTTACAGTGAATTCATTCTATGGCTACTTGACAAAGTGTTTCAAGGCCCCTTCAACTGGTAAAGTGTGCCCCCTAACATGCTTGTGGTAAGTACACTTAAATCTCAATATAACAAAACTGCATCTTACGAGAAAATAAGTTCATTGTATTCCTAAAATTCATTATGAAGGTTATTCTTAACACTGCATCTATTGTAAGACTATATTCAATTTACTTCGTTATATCCATGTTCATTTATTCAGGTTTGAGTTCAACTGATGTTGTAGTGTGGACTTTGAGATTGTAGCAGTGCACCATTGCTCAGTCATGTAACTGTGGCAATGAGTGTACATTCTTCTAAATGGCTTTGTTCAAGTGCCATTGATTTGTACACAAGCGCAAAGTTCTATCCTGCCTCATTAGGGCTACTGGAGACGAGTGCAGTGATGCGATTGAAGCCAATATGATGCAGCTTCTGGAGCAGATTGCTGGAGTCGCATCAAGAAATGCTTCATTGCATCATATGGCAGAGATTATGCTTTGAGATAAATGAGAAACCCAGTCATGCAACAGCTGGGCCATTAGCGCTAAATTTGTTGACTTTGTAAACATGAGACGGCCCGTGGTCACCGCATCCCGCGGGACCCTGTCAGGAGACGACCATCACGCCGACTGCCACTCGCCAAAATTCAGTGTTCTAGTACACTCTGGCCAAAGGGCGCCGTTCATGGCTTATATGCTGCCACCTAGCCTCGCCGCCAGGCTTCACTGCTGGCACTACCGCGCTAACCCAACGTCACTGCGCACATGCGCAGGAAGATGTGCGTGCACATCAATACTATTAGGTTCCCTGAGGCGGTCGTTAATTCACTGTCCGTTGGGAGCATGCCAATAGTATTGGTAAGAGTGTCTTCCTGCGCATATCAAGCTTTGTTCGTGTGTGCCACGTTTTGACCAAGCTAGGATTATGGACAAAAGCAGAGATCAAACAGCAAGGGAACTACTTGAGACGTATCTTGTTAGATGTAATGGGTACGCTCGTGTCAGTGACGCATCTATTGTGCTCTATCAGTCTTTGTCCTTTTTTTTTGATGAACTGCTCACGTGATTGCATGTCTGTGGTTACTCTTCCACACTATTGCGCATCTGTGGAAGTTTACCTGTTTTTCATCCTGCAGCAGCAATAAACAGCTGATAGTTTGGCGACCGTCTGCCTCATTTTCATGTTCCTAGCTTTGCGCCAGTTATGAAATGTTACCCCGCCGCGGTGGTCTAGTGGCTAAGGTACTCGGCTGCTGACCCGTAGGTCGCGGGATCGAATCCCGGCTGCATTTTCAATGGAGGCGAAAATGTAGGCCCGTGTACTCAGATTTGGGTACACGTTAAAGAAGCCCAGGCGGTCTAAATTTCCGGAGCCTTCCACTACGGCGTCTCTAATAATCGTGCGGTGGTTTTGGGACGTTAAACCCCACATATCAATATCAATTCAGTCATGAAACGTTCGGCAAACTAAGGTACCAACTCGCCCAAAAACAAGTTCTTCTGAAAGCACAAGCTTTGCCTAGCGACAGTGAAGACATGTTGCAGTTCAACTGATTCGAAAGCCATTATGGCCTGCTGTGCATAAACGGCAATTTGCGCGTGCAGTTCCAAAGTTGGTCGAGTTTTGTTTTCGACCGAGCATTACGCGTTGGATCGACAAGGACACCGCCGGAATCCATATCGCGAAGCAGTTCGTCCAAGTCGTGTCTTGGTTCATGCGTGGCGCTCGCATTCTGTGTGAACTCGGCACCATGGACGAATTTTGGCGCCACGGGAACAAAATGCTTGAATCCTGTTATCAAGACGGCAGGCGTCAAAAAACAAGCAAACAAAAAAAAAACGCCGCACCGCTGCCGAGCACAGCTCTGTGATAGAAACCGTCAAACCATAAAAACTGAAAAAAGAAATACAATGTCGGTTTCACCTCAAGGGCGCAACAATGAATGCAATAGCACCAAATTTTACTCTTATACGAAGTAAGAGTGGCAGCTGCTGCTATTTTGGATTCGGTATATCGCGCAACTTTACGAAACGCTGTAACAGGATACGGCCACTCCAGGGAGGAATGATCGTTTCGCAGCCTCTCGCTCAGAAGTGTGGTAAGCTTGGGCTAGTTGGTATGGCATGACGATAGTTATAGCGCGAGAACAAAACGACGAAACAGAGCGTGTCTTTCGTGTCCTTCTTGTCTCTGTGTCGTCGTTTTGTTCTCGCGCTATAACTATCCTCTCGCTCAGAGCGCAGAACGTGCAAGGGTTTATGGTCGGCCGAGACAGCGCATGAGCCAGAATTAAGGTTCACAGCGGCTGCTTGAGTGACCCGCCTTCCCAGCGTCTTTCCTTACTCGTCCTTGGGATAACATCCCGCAGTCAAGACGGTGGAGTATTCGCATGTGCCCTCTGCGCAACGGAAAGGGGCCAGCCCGTTTGATATTTTTGCTTCAGCAGCGCTCACCACCCCCGTTCGCGCGCTGTCACTCGCGGGCAAGAACATCATCATCATCAGCCTGACTACGTCCACTGCAGGACAAAGGCCTCTCCCATGTTCCGCCAGTTAACCCGGTCCTGTGCTTGCTGCTGCCAATTAATACCCGCAAACTTCTTAATCTCGTCTGCCCACCTAACCTTCTGTCTCCCCCTAACCCGCTTCCCTTCTCTGGGAATCCAGTTAGTTACCCTTAATGACCAGCGGTTATCCTGTCTACGCGCTACATGCCCGGCCCATGTCCATTTCCTCTTCTTTATTTCAACTACGATATCCTTAACCCCTGTTTGTCCCCTAATCCACTCTGCTCTCTTCTTGTCTCTTAAGTTTACACCTACCATTTTTCTTTCCATTGCTCGCTGCGTCGTCCTCAATTTAAGCTGAACCCTCTTTAGCTGAACCCTCTTTGTAAGAACATACAAAGCGCGTATGATGTCAACTTCGAACCCCGCCGTGGTGGTCTAATGGCTTGACTCGGCTGCTGACTCGCAGGTCGCGGTATGGAATCCTGGCTGCGGCGGCTGCATTTTCGATGGAGGCGAAAATGCTGTAGCCCCGTGTGCTCGCTTTGGGTGCGCGTTAAAGAACCCCAGGTGGTCGAAATTTCCGGAGCCTTCCACTACGGCGTCTCTCATAATCCTATGGTGCTTTTGGGACGTTAAACCATCCCCACATATCAATCAATCAATGTGGTCAACTTCGAGTTTACATGCATGGAAAAAGACAGCAAAAACTTGTCGAGATTGCAATAGAAAAAACTTGCCGCGCCATTGCCTAGCAACGGCGCGGCGAGCGCATTGCTTGTCTCTGTTTTGTTTTTTGTTTTTTCTGTGTGTGGTTCTTATTTCGGTCGTGGCACTTGAATGTCCCGAGCATAAGTTTTTACAATATCTTTAGAAACAGGCATTGAGACCGTGTAATAATAGGAATAACACTGAGAGATCGGAGCACGGCGGATTGGGTGAGATAGCAGGCAGTATACATCCTAGCTGACATCAATTAAAAAAAGTGAACCTTGGCTGGTCACGTAATGCATAGAACATACAACCAGTGGGCAGTTAAAAGAGCAACAGATCGGTTACCAATGGATGGAAAACGCAGTAAGGCAAGACAGAGAGTTAGATGGAGTGACGAAATTAGGAAGTTTGAAGGAATATAGAGATTAAATCAGCTCGCGTAGGATTGTGCAAACTGGAGATTATTGGCAGAAGCCGTCGTCCTACAGTGGGCTAACACAGGCTGAGAATGTTGATGATCATATGATGATTGGGTGTAAAGCGAAAATAACTTACATTGCCACAGAAAATTGCCACGTCCGCCTTGCGCAGAGCAATGGCAATTTCCTGTGGCAATATTAGCTTATCTCTGCGCATCAGTTGCTGTTCATATGTAATGCGGTGTATTATCCAATTTTTCCACATTTCGACATTTTAACGTTAACGTTTTTTATTCGTCTGAGCTATGTCTATTAGCTATCCAAAACATCACTTGCCTTGTTTTTTTTTACCTTGCTTTCAGCTTTAACATTTGAATGTTTTAACCGCTAGAATTTTTGTGGTTACCAGATAGACGAAAAAAAACTTATTTAACAGTGATGTGGGCACCGTATAACTTTGCTCCGATACTCCCTTTTTACTGCTCCAAAGCTGCTCCGAAACAGCATTATTCCTGCTCCCTGAGCTCCTTCAAACCACTCAAGCCCGCTTCCACCCCTGAATTGCTTCCGCGAACTGCAATGCACGTGCTGTTGGCTTTTTGAAATGCCGAGAAATGTATTTTGACGTTTCACAATAAAAGAAAACAGCACGAGAGCATAGAGTTTCCCACAATTCTTACTAGACGGAACTCCTGCGCGCTAGTGTCTATGGGAGTTGCAACACACGGCGCTTCAACGAATCAACGACCATGGGAATGATGGGTAGTACACACATTTGTCGGATATT